CCCCAAGTTGAAACCACCTTTCGGTTGTGAACCCAACAGCCAAACCACTAGACCACTGACGCTATATCATAAGAGAAAAAAAAATTATGTTTTTATGGTACGGCTATTTTCTCGCTACGGTCAGCCCTTAATGACCGGTTGAACACAGAACAGGTCAAAACAGGTAAAGCTATAATCCAAAGCTGGAACACCAGACTGAAAGGATATATCTTTCATAAATGACGAAGACAAGATAGTAAAAAAATTGGACCTGGATGGATTAAAAATCCCTTTCAACACTGTAAGCTTATTCAACAGGCATGACCTTCGAATTTATCATCTATCTCCAACGAATTTGGCAGAGAGCACTGAACACTCTCCAAACTACATGTAATCAATCAAGATAATTTTCAACAGGATTCGAACCAGGGTCACTAGAGCTGGCTGGTAAGATACCTACCAACATGATTGTTTAGACAAAAGTACAGTGACCTCACTTGGGCTCAGACCTACTGTTCTTATGTGTGTCAATGCCGCAACCAACTCTTCAGCAGTGTCTTAGTTTTAGTAAGAGTTCTACAGCAATCAGGTCATATAAGTGCTGAAGACTAGAGGTGTTACTAGAGTGTAACTAACATACAAACAAAAGAAGGAGGAGAGACAAGGACGATAGATGTCTGATAGAAAAGAAGGAGCAAACCACCCTGAGCACCCATCAACCACCCTGAGCACCCATCAACCACCCGTGTTTTCATGAGAGTTCAGTGACCTATTACTCCTAGAAAAGAAAATATTTCCATTTCAAAATTGGAGTCCTTGACCTGTGTAGTGGTCAGTATAAAGAGGAAAGGAAAGAAAGGAAAGACACAAAAAGGAAAAGGGAAAAGACAATACACAGTAGTAAATATCACACATGTATTTTTTAGCACAGATGTCATGTTCATCATTCTACTAATAGAGAGGTTGTACATCCTGCCCAAGTGTAAAGAGCTATTTGTAACTCCACTCTGTCACGTAGATAAAGTGAATTGGCTAGTTAGTTCCCACTAACTGAAACGTGCAGAGCCTGCAGATACAAAGGCACAAAGAACCCAATCTATTTACAAGTACAAGTACTGACTTTTGAACCTAAAAAAAGTAATGCAAAATCTGCTCTAGAAACAAGAACATACAGAAAAAAAGCACAAGCCCCCCCCCCCCCCCCCCCCTCTCCCTCAAAAAACAACAAATAACAACTGTTTGGCTGGCAATTCTGAGCAATTTTTTTTTGGAAGTATGAAGAGCATTCAACACTTCAAAAAGAGAAACTCCTTCACATCAGAAAAAAGAACCGTGGAAATAAAAATGCGTTTGTTCAGAGAGAGTGTCAATTCCATTTGTCAAGGTGATAAAGTCAGAGAAGAATGTAATCTATTTCCAGACATAGAGCAGTTGGCAACGGACAGTTTCCATACCCGGTAACAATATATATATTTTTTTAACAAAAGCTTTTTCCCCCACTTTGTTCTGACCTCCTGCAGTGTAGGCATACACCCCCCCCCCCCCAAATTTTCCAGACTTATTTTTTAAAATCCTTATATAAATCTTTGTTGCCTTGCCTTCTACAAGCAACAGAAACTCAGATCAAATTTAACTTTGAATTACAACAAGAAATGAGCTCCAAAAATCTAAAGACAAACTACTTTTAGCGGTGTAAAGGAGATGAAGATGAAGGCAATCACACAAAGATTTGTGTGGTATTTTGAAAGTACCATCAACTTTTCTGAATTTGTTCAATCTGACAAATAATTCTTTACCTGATTCCAATCATGTATTTTAAGAAGTTGGGATCAGTTGGCCTTTCCAGCAAATACGAATGATGTTAGTCATATAATTATATATAAAGTCAACTTTCCAGGTATATGAAGAGAATTATTCAAATTTCCATGACTTTCTGGATTTTTTTCTGATGCAGCAGTGACCATGATTTTTGAAAAAAGAAAAAAAGTAATCATTTTCCAGCAACTTGTTATACACATTATGATCATCATGGGGTGCCCAACGGTCACAACTTGCCAGATCTTTCCGCATTCTTCTGCTCCCAGATTGTCACTCCATCACAGGCACAAAATCTTTTGGAATTCTGGAACAATCCTGAGGCTCTTGCCACTATACCACATGCAAGTCTGTTCAGAAACAAGGACAAAGCAATTACATTACAAAAGTGAGAAAAAAAAGTAAGAATAATTATATACACTTTTGAGACTGCTTAAATGGAACACGGTCAATCTGAAAACAATTGTAAACTAACTAAAAGAATATTTTAAAATCCCCAATTTTTTTTTCTTTATTTGATCAGCCTATCTTAACCAAAACCATGGCGAAACTGAAGAAAATCTACAGGGTACTGGAGAATTTGGTTTAAGTGGAATACACTGGACGCAGCCCAGGTTGGCCCTGACAGGCAGGGTTGGAGGCAACCTCTTAAATTACGATCTAAATAGTGTCCATGGGAGGTGTAAAAATGTATATATTAAAAAAATAAAATTTGTCTGCTTTTCTTTATCCCCAGATATTTGTAACCATGTCTGTATATCATTTAGATTGGCCCTTTAGTTCTGGGAAAAGTAAGACAGACAGAAATATATCATTTAGATTTGCAACACAGAAAAACCTGTGAGACCAGGTCATGACAGGGAGAAAACTGCTCAAATGGGAGAAAGAGAAGGTGTGCTGGAGAAGGCAAATCCTGTCTCGAATTTCTTCCCGAAAAAAGAAAACAGGTGAAAAAATTAGGTCTGAAAACAAATAAAGGGCAGGACAGCAATATATATATATTGTGTGAGGAGAAAGCAAGGGAAACTTACTCTCCTGATAGTGTTTTAAGTACAATAACCTTTCCCTATAACATTTCTTGGTGATATACATACATCTACAGGTTTACCATTCCAACACACATTGCACCCTACGACACATTATCATACACTTCTATGGAAAAAAACATACTGTATCCCGAGACCACTGAGGAGTGGGAAGTGGTCGATCACTTATAAAGGTGATAGTCTTGGACAGGTGTACGTTAGAACAGGTTTGACTGTATATCAACTGCTCAGTGTAGGACTCCGCTATACACTCAGAAGTCGATATGGACATACATGAAACAAAGTTTATTGTGGCATCAGTGGTCTAGTAGTTGGGCTACCGTAATCGTAATCGTGAGGTTAAGGGTTCGGACCTCAGGCCCGATGTTGCGTCCTTGGGAAATAAGACACTTTACACAAATTTTCCTCACTTCACCCAAGTGGGAATGGGTAGATGGCCATAGACAGCGAAAGAATCTTGTCAGTATGTTAGTGATTGAGCGCCTATAAAATGGCAGCACCCACTGTATGCTTCCCAGGAAGTTGAGATTGTTTCAGAATGCTATCTGGTCTGTCGAGGTAATAATATATAGATTGTAAAGCGCATAGAGCTTGCTGTTGAGGGGAATTTGCGCTATACAAATGCTATCTATTACTGTTATTATAGAGAACTCTGCCCATTTCTCTCGCTTCCTGCAGCACTGACCTGTTACTCTTTCCCTGTAAAACTTCTTCCTGATCCCCCTGGTGCACCACCACACATCTCCCGATCACATCAGAGAGTTTGATGTCAGACGTAGACACACGGAATTCTGCCCTCTGATTGTCGTTTGGAGAAAGTCGACTCAGGACGCCATTGAACTGTGGGAGAAAACATGATGTAAGAAAATAAGAGCCAGCGTGGGAGAAAACATGATGTAAGAAAATAAGAGCCAGCGTGGGAGAAAACATGATGTAAGAAAATAAGAGCCAGCGTGGGAGAAAACATGATGTAAGAAAATAAGAGCCAGCGTGGGAGAAAACATGATGTAAGAAAATAAGAGCCAGCGTGGGAGAAAACATGATGTAAGAAAATAAGAGCCAGCGTGGGAGAAAACATGATGTAAGAAAATAAGAGCCAGCGTGGGAGAAAACATGATGTAAGAAAATAAGAGCCAGCGTGGGAGAAAACATGATGTAAGAAAATAAGAGCCAGCGTGGGAGAAAACATGATGTAAGAAAATAAGAGCCAGCGTGGGAGAAAACATGATGTAAGAAAATAAGAGCCAGCGTGGGAGAAAACATGATGTAAGAAAATAAGAGCCAGCGTGGGAGAAAACATGATGTAAGAAAATAAGAGCCAGCGTGGGAGAAAACATGATGTAAGAAAATAAGAGCCAGCGTGGGAGAAAACATGATGTAAGAAAATAAGAGCCAGCGTGGGAGAAAACATGATGTAAGAAAATAAGAGCCAGTGGCAAACCCTCCTAAAGGCAAAGGGCAAGAGGAAGTTTATTCAAACACATTAAATACACGTTTCTGTTGTATAGTAGTCTATAATCCATAATAAAAACAACAGTAAAAACGAATTGATACAAATAGAGAAATATTCCAAAATACACACTTCATCTACCTCTTTTAACAGTCCTATCCTTACATATCAAGGTTTACATTTGAATAAATTAAGGGAGGGGGGGTGTGGTGTAAATGGGAATAATTAAATGCTCCTGTCTTCTACAATACTTTTAAGCCAAACACAAGAAATCTGTTCTCTTCAGCACATAACCCAAGCTTGGGGAAAGAAAAGAAAAGAGAAGTTCCTCCTGCCCTGACTGTGAGCTTTCTGATCTCCACTGCATCCCAAACACAAATATGCTAACAAACCCAAAGGTCTGAAAGGGGGTATTAAACCCACATAACTGCTTTAAAAAAAAACAACCATATCCCAAGGCCATCATCTGGTCGTACTTACCCCTTGATCGGTGGTCAGCAAAGAGCCACAGTTCTCACAGCCATTGGAGAGATCTCCGCACTCATGAACTGACAGGAAAATGGGTTTGGACGCTGGTAAGCTGTCCAGGGTGCCTTCTATCACACAGGTGTTGGACTTGTTCTGTACCCACCTCAGAAGTCCTCTGACACCACTGCTCCCAACACTCACAGCAGCTATCCCAGCTCCCAAGTTCTCTTCTGTCAAAACAAAATTTTGAAAATAGAACAACTTTGTGCAAGAGCTTTGTGCACACCAAGTTACAAATGTGACTTTACCAAAGCTGAATAGCCTGGACCATTAGTTGGAGTTAAATGAAAGAAGAAGGAACAAGAAAGGAAAGAAGGTACTGATGATAATTATGATACACAAAAATAATTCTACACGTGTTCTTCAACCTTCTAATAAAATAGTTAGCACCCACTTTCGCCACCTTTAAGAGGCTAAAACGTTTGTACCACACATCTACCTGTGTTTTCAAGTGGAGCATTAAATTTCCATCCGTCACTACCCAGATGATCCCCACCACCCATCAAAATTACCAAATCGCCTATTAGTGGGCAATACCATTCAGGTTGGCCGCTAGTCTACTAGACAGATATACACAAAAGAATAGAGGCATTAATATAGAATATTCTACCAAAAAAAGCATTGCACATCCGAAAAATATGCTGGGGGTCTATCTGTCCTCCCTTCACTCCCTCCGTCTCCTCCTGCCCCCTTTCCCCACAACCAATTAGAGAAAAAAAAAGGGTAAAACTCAGAACTACTAGTAATAGTAACAGCTCATATTGTAAGATTGGTCAGATTGTGTTTTTATTCAGAATATAGCGATTATAACATTATTATGAGCTCCGTAAGATTATGAGCAGCAGACCCATTGACCCTGGTTCAAATCTTCAAAAGGACATTTCTTACCCTGGGTTGTTTAAGGAGTGGTCACTCCATCCGTTTGAAACAATCCTATCAGCAATAAGCATAAAATCATAGGCACTGTCTTTGGAATGAATGCATGGAAATGTGTGTTGAACTAACACCTTATAAGTCAAGACTTCTGTCCAACATCATCAAAATTTTGACAAACAATGAATTAATTGTATGATGACTTATCTTCCTGTCAAGATCTCTTCTCTTTGAAGACTCTTTTGACACAAAGAATATGGTCACAGCGGGGCAGTTGGTAATAATAATAATAGATAGCATTTGTATAGCGCATATCCCCGCTCAACAGCAGGCTCTATGCGCTTTACACTATATTATTACCCCAGCAGACCATAGAGCACTCCGAAACATTCTCAGCTTCCCGGGAAACATACAGGTACACAAATGTCATCATGATGAGAAGTTCATTTTTTTTTTTCAGCCTTACACCCTGATGATGACAAAAAGGGCTCCATCTTATGAAGATAGCTTACTTTGGGTAAAGCCGTTTTCTTAATTCACACGGCTATTAAATAAAGGATTATAGACATTTCTCTGGGCAACAATGAAAGTTAAGCTCAAGAAAGATCAACTATCCTCTAGTTTGAATATTCAAAAGTGGAAATCAAAACCAGTATACTTGTATATTGTTTCAGTTGGCTGGTTTCAATTCTTTAAAAAAAAAAAAACCCGACAAAAAAGGAATACTAATGGTACATAATTCTTCTACATAATCTTTTCCCAGCCCACAGTACTATACAGTGAACCTAATTAACATGTTTGCCTGAATGTGTCAAATTACCTGAGCCTTGGCCAAGTACAACAGTAGACAGCCCCGTCTTCTCTTCGATTGCGTCCTTGACCACCTCAGCCACGACATCACCCTCAATGACGACTCGCTGTGCCGGGAGGTCAATACTTAGTACATTGAGACCTGGAAATTGGAAATTGTCACAGACGGTGAAGAGTACACTACAAATGACCTAAAGAGGTAGCAGCTTGGAATATTGTTTCTTTTAATTTCAAACTGAAATATAAGTGGTACGAGGAGATGAAAAAGTAATCTAACCTTTCCACAAACATGACAATGAACAAGGGCCATCTGAAAAGTAAGATGAAGATGGCAAATGAATAATAAAAAGTCTTGAATTAACCTTAATAAAACTTACTCATTACATCGTGACCCGATACTGCTACATGATCTCAACATAGTCCTCACTCACAAAGATGGATACATTTTTTCCAGCGTCCCATCAGAGAATACATCCCCACCTTTAAAACATTATAGTAAAAGAAAATGTAGGCAACGTGAGATAAGTTCATCTTTGCTTCATCTTTTTGTGAACTTCTCTCCTGCTTAAATATCTTATGAATATCCTCCTAGGGGCGAGAATAGGTGAAAGTCTGATGCAGCAAGGCCAGGATGGACTGTGTTGAGGACGAGGCATTAAATTATATATCTTCCAGTTGTACGTACGGATTCAATCATTAGTCTAACTTCTGACAGATTTGCCTCAAGAGTGGTAGGACTGAAATGTCCTTTCTCATAAGCCATTGTCTCTCAGTCAGTTGCTTTGGGACCCATCAGCCACCACTTTACAATGCCACAGCTGCTCATAACAAATTTTATGAAAAACTGATTTTGGAAGATTACGAGCCAAAACAATCTCCCTAACTGTCACTAGCCTATGGCTTGTCTTCCAGACTCGTCATTCCTATATTAAATACACTAGACTGTAACACATAATATATCAATTTTTTGCTCATTAAATTGTCACTATACTCTGTATATTGAGTTCTTTGAAAATTTCTAGGGGTTTCATTCCTTTTGCATCTCTGAACATTGAGAGTACTTGGGCTTATATTTTAATTGACCCTATGAGGCTCGTGTTCGATTTGATATCACAGATGCTTATATAGAGTGCCCATTAGTGGATTGGCTCTCTAATACAAACCGATCACACGACTCGTCGCCTGGACACAGAGACATAATTGCTTTTGAGGTAAATAGTCGGGCGATCGGTTTGTGCCACGATAGCCCCCCTGTGTCCTCAATTTGGTTAGCAAACCGAACCGATCGTGCCCAGGAGCACAGTCTGTGATGAAACTGGTACTTTGCAACAATTAGTAAGTCTTGTAAGAAGTGTACAATGTCTTTTGCACCTCTTTTACAGATAGCAATAAAAGACTTATATTACTTTTTTTAGTCACCATTTTCAATTTACTTTTTAAAAAGCCGTCATAATTGTAATGGTACAAAAAATAAGGACATTTGGTTCAATCACGCTTAGATTTAGATCTAGTTATTACCTGCAAAACTTTTTATCGCATTTTTGACTTTTTCGACACAGCAAGGACTGTTCATTTCAACAGCAAATTCCATCTGAAAATATAGGATACATACAATAAAACAATCTGAAGCGAAATTTTGAAATTAAAGATCCACTTTATTTCACGATCAACAATAGATATAAACCTGAAAAGAAAATCTCCAAGTTCTATGGAAAAAAAGCAGAAGAACTAGCAATTTAACAGTGAATTCCAGTAACCATACAATATCTAGTGTGTGAAAAATATAACGCTGACCTGAAATGTCAGAAAACCAATTTTTTAAAAACGAAGTGGCTGTTCGGACTCAAATTCCTGTGCGCATGTGCTATCACCACCGGTAGTACCGTAAGCGAGGTCTATACTCGAGTCCGAATAGTCTCCTGTTGCTATTCGGATTTTAAACTACTGGTAGGCTATTTCATCGTGTTTCACGACTACAAAGGGATCAAAACATAAAATTCAAAATCAGTCCTTATAAGACAGCCCCACCCCCTCCCCTTTCTCTCTCTCTCTCTTACTTTTCCTCTCTCTCTTTCTCTTACTTTTTCTCTCTCCATCTTACTTCCCCAGGCCCGCCCCACCACCTTCACCCCTTTTTAGATCTATTCCCTCCCATAGCGTTGCCCACTGCCCAGCCCTACAATTATATTATAATCCTTTGTACAGAAAACACCACAGTTCGCACTGGGTCACCACGGTCGGCATCTATTTGTTGCAAGTTCTTTGAACAGATTGTAGAAACAGAGGAAGGCCAAGGTCGAACTGCTTGTCTGCTTCACATCCAGTACACCTAGTGATTGTGCACACGCATTGGAGTTTGCGTCCGAACAGCCACGGAAGGCTCCTATTCGGATTCGAATTCAGACTCGAGTCCAAATAGCCGCGGCCTTTTTTAAAAGTCTGTCATAATCAAGGTCAGCTTTATTCAGGGTTGGGTTGATTTAAATCAGTAGATTTTTTAAATTTAAATCAACTTGATTTTTAAAAGAAAAATCAGTGATTTAAATCACTTAAAATTTTTTAAATTTTTATTCTGTTTTTACACATTTCAACATTCAGAATTCCTTTCCTTGGTTTCATAAAACAGATATAAGGTTTAGTAGACTAATATAATCATGCTTAAAAGTCTGCTTTCCCCCCTTTCACTGTAAAATAATACAGTATTCAATTTACTTTTTTTTTCCATAATTGAAATCAGAGCTGGGTTGATTTAAATCAGTTGATTTTTTAAATTTTAATCAACTTGATTTTTTAAATAAAAATCAATGATTTAAATCACTTTTCAAAAAAATGTATTCAGTTTTTACATTTAAACATTCAGAATTCCTTTCCTTGGTTTTATTAAACGATATAAGGTTTAGTAGACTAATATAATCATGCTTTAAAGTCTTCTTTCCCCTCAGTCACTGTAAAATAATACAGTTCTCAATTTACTTTTTTTCATAATTGAAAACCAGGGTTGGGTTGATTTAAATCAGTTGATTTTAAAAAATTTAAATCAACTTGATTTTAAAAATAGAACTCAGTGATTTAAATCACTTTTAAAATTGTATTCTGTTTTTACATCTTTAAACTTTCAGAATTCCTTTCCTTGGTTTTATAAAACAGATATAAGGTTTAGTAGACTAAAATAATCATGCTTAAAAGTCTGCTTCCCCCCTGTCACTGTAAGTAGTAAAATAATACTGTATTCAATTTACTTTTTTTTCATAATTGAAATTAGCATTTTCTTTTTCTTTTTAGACAAACACAAGCGCGCGCACACACACACACTGTAATAAAATGCAAGTTTATCTATGCATAATTACCCCCCCCCCCCTTCCTTTTAGACTGACATTTTCTTCATTTTTTGTTTGCAGCCATAACTCACTGAATAGCAGATTAACACTTTCTAAAATTGCAGTTGCTTAAATTAATCATTGGTTAAAATAAAGACAATGCATTTTGCACTAAAAGAACTTACTTTTAGCCTCCAAAAATCCCAAACTGTGTCGACATTTAAAAAAAAAAAAAAAAAAAAAAAAAAAAATCTGATTTAAATTTAAAAAATCTTATTTAAATTTTAAAAATCGATTTTTAAAATTTTTATTTAAAAAATCAAAAAAATCACCAACCCTGGCTCTATTCGGATTCGAGTCCAATTAGAGTTTTTATCTATTTGGACTCGAGTCCGAATATGGGATTTAGATTCTAGCCTTCTATTCGGACTCGGGACCGAAAAAAATGTTTTATTTATTCTGACTCGGCTTCTAAATTAGTTGTGAGTGTGAGGAAGTTACATAATATAACTGTCGTCTGGGGATTTTATGTAAAAACCAGAATAAAAGAACTAGAATTACCTACTAGGACAGTGTAACTGTGTCAAAAGTCAAAAGACTGGACTCTCATTGCCCAATGGAAGTGTCTAAGTAGAATCTACACACGGTAACCGACAACTCATTAGTCTTTCTCACTAGGCTACAGCATCATCATTACTTCCACCACCATTTAGTCCATTTGTCTGTCCACACGTTTAGGCTATCGTTATTCTCACCCGTGGTGAAAATAAAAATATATAATTTTATTCTCACCCCGGGTGAGAATAATATTATATTGTTGTTCTCATAGAATAAATGAATATTTTTCTCACCCGCTCTGAGAATGCAATGGATTTTTAGGTCTTCCAGGGTATTGAGAACGGATGATAGCCTAGAAAATAATTTGTGAATTGTAAGAGAGTGACCGTTCGTGACCTGCCCCAGAGCGCTGGCTGATTTTTCTAGGCTCCCGCGGGGATTGTTATTGTTTCATTTTTAAAAATCTTGAGTTGAGAGTATGCATGCATCTTCACCGAAACCCTGGACAAGTGTAAATATATTCTAAATTCAGAAAGGAATTCACCTACCAGAGTAGTATGTTTTAAAAAATTTAAATAATAGCCTTTTAACTGAAAGCTGTTTAATGAAATTTGAAATAATGTTAGTAATAGTTTGCCATTTAATGCTAAAACTGGCATTTGTTTACAAAACAAAAAAAACATGTTTAATTGTTATCCCTTGCAGAACCCACGATTATTTTTAAGGAACGCAGTGCCTTGACCCTAGACTTATTTTTTTCTTAATTTTGATTGGTTAAACCATTCAAGAGTAAAATTTTCCATTACAGAACCAATAAATACTGTAGCGACAAAAGGTGGCGCTATTTGATCAAAAGATAAGGTTTGCGATTTTAGTCGCCTCGCGCGCTCAGCGGAGTGAGAGAGGGAGGCGAGTTTTGTCGCCTGGAGCCCTCGGTGACTGGGATTCTATGATGTCCGAAACTAAAAAACCGGGTGAGAATAATAGGCTGTCGTTATTCTCACCTGGGGTGAGAATAGTATCAATTTTAATCTCACCCCAGGTGAGAAATTGTTACATGTCCAACTTATCCTCACCCCGGGTGAGAATAATCACTTCGACACGTTTTTAAATTTCATTTTGTTGTCTGCTGTAGTTTTAAGAAGGCTATTCGATTTTTAAAAAAAAATAAGGCTGAATCTAGATCTAGTCTAGAGGAGGACTTCCATAACGAGCGACCACCCCATCAAACACAATAAAGAAGAGGCCTAATAAATTCTTATTCGGACTCGAGTCCGAATATGAAAAAATGTTATTCGGACTCGGGTCCGGAAATAAGGAAGTGTCTTCGTTCTATAGATCCAACGTTCAGTGCTTCCAATTTTCCGCCATTTTTTAGTTTCCCCCACACCTTTTCTGCCGATCCGATGCCCGCCGCTTCATTGATACGCCCCCCCCCCCCCCCCCCCCCATGTTTCCCACTTTCTTTGTTGTAGAAAAAGGTAAAATTGAAGATTAGCAGACCACCTGGCACCTGCATATTATGAGCTGTGTAAAAAAAAGACTGATTCGTTCAAATACACAAGCCTGTGTAGTTGTGTTGCTGTGTAGAGCTGAGCATACGGCAACTTTTGATTCCATAGACCAGCGCACAATTCATTACGTAGATCTACGTCAAGATTAGCTTATTATTGTAATAATGATCAGTTGCCAGGGGGAAAAAGACTGACGCGTATGCGACGTTCAACGCCCGGACCGATAGTGCCCCCCCCCCACCCCCCTCCCTGACACGCACACAGCCACACGTGTGCAGGCCGCCCATCCGACCCCGACACACGCTAACGAGCCATCTTTAATTGCTTCTGATGATCTCTTGAGAAATAAACATTTATTAGAAGCGCTATAACTTTTCAGGCCGGCCTCAAATTCATCATAAGATAACAACTCGGCCTGCACAAAACGCCTTTTGCCCGAAGTGATCCCGGTCTCTACCCGGCCTGAGGCGAGTCACGAGTGAGGCAGGACAGGAAGCCGGAGTCACGGGTCACAGGAAGTCGGAAGTGATGTCATACTGGACAAGAATCAGAGTCCGAATAACATTTTTTCATATTCGGACTCGAGTCCGAATAAGAAAGTGGCTATTCTCACCCGCCCGGAAGTTCTCGCAAGATCAACTCCTCCCCTCTTCTCTCTCTCTCTCTGTCTCTTTCTGAATACTGTCTATCGGTGTGGACGATCAAATTGACCAAAACAAAGTTAAAAAATGATGTTAAAACTAACTTAAAACACAAAAGTAAATTAATTTGGTTGTCTACAAAGATGCTACAGCTATTTAACTTTTCGAATCGAGCCGAACTACGTGGGTTGCCATTTTGTTTTGCCCGGAAATTCTCACGCTACTCCTCTCTCTCTTTCTCTCTCTGTCTCCACTGCCCACAGACAAAATTGTACGCTTTTCGTAGGCTACAGTTGTAATGGAACGTTTGTTCACGCACAGAATTCTACAATTTTTCTGTTATCACAGTGTAGAATTCTGTGGTTTAGGTTGAACGCAAAATCTGATGAACGCGCACCGGGTGAGAATAGCCACAAGACTCGCCTGCACTATTCTCACTCCGGGTGAGAATAGAGGTGGCCTCCGAATAATCACTTCGAACCCTAACACTAACCCAAACCCTAACCCTAAATTCTGCTCTGTCTCATGTGGTCGCTCGTTACGGAAGTCTAGATGTAGGCTATCTGCTAGAATCTACTAGACTAGTCTAATCTACATCTATATATCGATCTACACTACACACACAACTGACAACACCACCTTGCGGCTTGCCGTATTTCAACTTACTTGAGTTTTCATTTCTGACACACTGTTCGTCGATTCCATGACAGTTTCTTAGTAGGCTGACAGCAGAGACTGCACTAAGACTAAGTTTTAACAGGTAAAGTGGTTCAACAATGTGAATGACACACCTAACGTAAACAATAAAACTTGCAATTCATGCAGTTACGCATGAAATTTTGTTAGCCAGTTATGATAAAAACGAGAACGGAAGTTGATGTTCAAGTTTCGATTTCGTGTCTCCAGATTTTTTTCCGCCTTGGCCAATATTGTGTTCGGAGGAGACTGCTGTGATTGAGTAGGCCTTGAGATCTAAGTGTTTAACGGCGCTCACAACTGCGTAAGGTCGTATGAGCGCGCGGGACATATTACACATTCAGTTGTTAGGAAATTTTGAATTTTCTCCGGGGGCGGACGAAGCCCACTCTTATCGATTTTGGACCACCAAGGGATCTTTAAATTGCGCAACTTACACACAGGACCTCTGAGATTTTTCACCCTTGTCCGAGAAGGCCAGGACTGTAGAACTCTCCTACCATAAGATCAGGGGTGTAGCCTAGATGAAAGACAGCAGTAAGAAGGAGCCAAGGAGTCTCAGTAGAAAGGCTGTAGAAAGAGTTAGTAGCCCAGAGGAAGGGGCAGAGGGATTAGGGCTGGGGGCAGAGAGTGGAGACGAAAGCAGACGATAGAACATTGCGAGAGCAGGAGAGGAGGTGAAAGGAGACAATACTAGAGAAGAAAAAATTCCCGTCGCTGTCCGGATTCGAACCCGGAACCTGTTGAATGAGAGGCGAACACCTTACCTCTAGGCCATGAAAGCCCCTGTGATTTCTTATTAGAATAAAGAAAGGTGATAATTTCAAGAAAGGATGAAAAGCTAAAGCTGAAAGAAACCTAGATCTGGCATGGTCAATGATGAAAACAATAATGGCAGAGACAAAATTACAAATGTAATGCCTTCAGTTTCTAAAACACTTGAACTGATGTTACTGTGATATAATAAAAGCCTTGATATAATCCCGCTCTCCCTGAAAAATAGGTACATGAAAATGGCGAACAGACCAAGAATTATTTATTTTGATATTGTCTGTAAAAAATGGAGCACTTGGGTGATAGGGAAAGATCATGACTGGAATTTTGAGAGCATCTTCAGAGAAGCAAGTGGCGAACCATAATCATGAGTGCCAATGTCTATTTCAGAAAGGATGTCGGAGAAATTGACCACAAACATACATTCTTTTATTGTAGCCTAATACGCAGGATGTTGATGTTATGAAAAAGCCGTCACAGTAAAACTCGTATATTAAAATACTTGTGAACAAAAAGCTTTTAAAAGGTTCAAAAAGTTATTCTAGCCCATGCAAGGCGCTTCCACAGTTACGTGCGATCGGTTTCGTGTCATAGTAGTGGTAGTAAGTAGTAGAAGCAGCAGCAGTAGCAGCAGCAGTAGCAGCAGCAGCAACAACAGCAGCAGCAGCAGCAGCAGCAGCAGTTACTGTAGTAGTAGTAGTAGTAGTAGTAGTAGTAGTAGTAGTAGTAGTAGTAGTAGTAGTAGTAGTAGTAGTAGTAGTAGTAGTAGTAGTAGTAGAGTAGTAGTAGTAGTAGTAGTAGTAGTAGTAGTAGTAGTAGTAGTAGTAGTAGTAGTAGTAGTAGAGTAGTAGAAGTAGTAGTAGTAGTAGTAGTAGTAGTAGTAGTAGTAGTAGTAGTAGTAGTAGTAGTAGTGGTAGTAGTAGTAGTAGAGTAGTAGTAGTAGTAGTAGTAGTAGTAGTAGTAGTAGTAGTAGTAGTAGTAGTAGTAGAAGAAGAAGAAGAAGAAGAAGAAGAAGAAGAAGAAGAAGAAGAAGAAGAAGAAGAAGAAGAAGAAGAAGAAGAAGAAGAAGAAGAAGAAGAACAACAACAACAACAACAACAACAACAACAACAACAACAACAACATCACTGCCTCTCATCAGTATCATAGATCATTGATCGTGCATCTTGGTAACTTTCATCATTAATGTTCTGCATTTCACTTTGAAAATTTAGAAACCACAGTATTATTATGCAGGAAGGCTGCTTCACTTCTTGTTCGGGCCAATCCAGGCTGAATGGGATCTTCTTCTGCTCCCGTAGATTGGTCATCCGTTGGGTCGCCTCTGACAGATGCATAACAACAATTTAAATAATCTCCTCGACTCCTCTCGGCTCTCTGCTTTCCTCAGTGTGTCCCGCAGCTCCACGGCTGTCCATTGTCAGATGTCATCCTCCCATCTCTTCTTCTGTCTGCCTCGATCTCCCTCGTCCTCCCTGCACAGTGCCTTGTAGAATGGCACTGTAAGATTTCTATCGCTTCTTTATTGAAGGACGAGCGCACTTTCTCCTCCATCACATAAATCTCCAACCTGCTGGCTCCAAGCGCGTGCCCTACCCCGGCACTGTAGGCATTATGCTAAACTTTATTATGGGATGGAGTGATGTTAACACGGCATCACTGGGAATAACTCCAATATGAGGTGACCGACCCAGGCGAAAAGGGTTAATTCTTAGTAGGTTCCTAGCATCGGCGGTCTACTGGTTAGGCTCCCTGGACTCGCAACGGCAAGGTCGTGGGTTCGCTTCCCGTCTGGGGCCCAACGTTGTGTTCGAAGGAAGGGCACTTTAAACGAATTTCCCTGACTTCACCCAGGTAAAAATGGGCACCCAGCAATAGACGGCGAAAGATTTTGTAATGTTTTTAGTGTTTAAGTGCTTAATCGGCTGCTAGCGCCGTATGCTGCCCAGAAGGTCGAGAATGTTGCTACTGAGTGTTGTAGGGACTGCTTGGGTAATAATAATAATAATAATAATATTGTGTAAAGCGCATCTTGCCGTCGAGCGGGGGTTGGGGGGGGGGGGTTGGGGGGGGATGCACTAAACAAATGCAATTTATGATGATGATGATGATGATGATGATGATGATGATGATGATGATGATGATGATGATGATGATGATGATGATGATGATGATGATGATGATGATTACTATTATTTTGTTTTATTTTTATTTTTATTTTCTAAATTAAAAATAATAAATTATTAGCTGCAGCAGCAGCAGCAGCAGTAGTAGCAGCAGCAGCAGCAGTAGTAGCAGCAGCAGCAGCAGTAGTAGCAGCAGCAGCAGCAGTAGTAGTAGTAGTAGTAGTAGTAGTAGTAGTAGTAGTAGTAGTAGTAGTAGTAGTAGTAGTAGTAGTAGTAGTAGTAGTCAACGACTTCATGTTCAAGCCCAACGCGTATTGGGGGAGGTCGGCTATGGCCTGGCGCGGAGAGGGATGGGCTCCGCCATGCGACATTGCCCAAGACACGCCGTGAATGACTGGGATACAACATCCAAAAAGACAAATTAAATGGTATATTAATAAAATATTGTCAATGTTCACTTTTGGTAATCGAGCTCACGTTATCTAATAGTAATGGCAAATGTCCTAACCGTGACATCAGACGCTGATACAGCGATGTGTTCATTGTTCACTTTTCCAAGGGTTTTGGTACTCTTCATGATGTTGCTGCATACTGCTCGGTCTTGTCATATACGTGAAGTCGCTTGTGAGGGTGATTTTTAAAATGTCTGTCTGTCTCTTTGTTTGTCTGTCTGTCTGTCTTCTCTCTCTCTCTCTCTCTCTCTCTCTCTCTCTCTCTCTCTCTCTCTCTCTCTCTCTCTCCCTCTCTATCTACCGCTCTCTCTCTCTCTCTCTCTCTCTCTCTCTCTCTCTCTTTCTCCCTCTCTATCTACCGCTCTCTCTCTCTCTCTCTCTCTCTCTCTCTCTCTCTCTCTCTCTCTCTCTCTCTCTCTCTCTCTCTCTCTCTCTTATTTCTTTCGTGTCTCTCCCTCTCTTGTTCCTCTCTTGTTCCTCTCTTGGTGTCTCTTCTTTTGTCTCTATCTCCTCCACTCTTGATACACGTACATATACTGTCAAACCGTGTGATAAGTTAGTCCCGGGACGAGCATGAAGTTAACAGTAAAGTAGGGAAAGTGGGGGCACAGAGTTCCCCACGTCGTATAGATACGATAGTGAAACATGACGTACGGACAGGGTTAAGCAAATAACCCTGAAAGTCGCGGGACAATAATGGTTACATTCCTGACCATGTTATAGATACATAACTTTCTGACAATAGATTATGTTTTAAGCCCGTACAGACACAATATACATGTAGATATAGGAGACAATCCTAATCAAACCACACCCACAGACAAAGAAACAAACAAAGAAACAAACAATTAATCGAACAAACAAACAAACAAACAAAGCAATCGATATTCTGACAAAAAAGACACAAGTGAAGTCTGTGAAATTTTCTTTAATGGATACCGTACATGTGTCAAGATCTATAGGTGTTTAGTCGATATTTTTTCATTTTATTTAATTAAGTCTTATTTCAGTAACTCAAGTTCTTTTCTGGGCGACTTGTCACTGAGTTTAGAAACTTTGCCAATTGATTTGCCGAATGCGGCGACGTGAGTCGAATAAAATCTCAAAATCTCAAATGTCTGACATTGCCGAAAATGAGACGGCGTTGGAGATATCAAAACAACAATAATTTGTTCCGCCTGATTTCATCTAGCACAGACCGACGATTTTACAACAGCAATAGTGTAGCCTACATTTCCTCAAGCCAGCAACGGTATGCAACAATAATTGGCTCATTTATTTTCTTCCACCTCGTGTTTGCCACATATTATTTCAACCAATCTTTGAATAGTTGAAAATATGGAATTCTATAACATCGAGATTTGATACATAATTATTAATATCCTGGCCTCCCTCCTTTTTACCCCCCCCCCGCCCTAACCTTTAAAATATATCTAAGTAATTTTCAACAAGACGTCTTTCTTGTAGTGGACGAGGCCGCGAATCCAGTGTTCAAAGATTACATGCGATATTCGCCCACTTTATCTGGGGAACCAAGGTTCTTACACATTAGAGAATCTCACGCCCCTCTCCCCCCCC